CTGAGTCTGCTGAGACTCTGCAGGAGGCTTCTGTTTTTCTATTGGTGTTGGTATTTCAAGCTTTTCAGAGTGTTGACCTAACTTGACATGTGGTCACCCAAAGGCGTAAATTGTTGGGAAAACTTTAGACACAAAAAAACCTACTTTGTTTTACACAAATGTGCCCTCTATAAACAAATTAATAGGGTATGAAAACTTAATGGCCGGATTGCCTTTAAATTTGGTCCTAAGACTCCCAAGATATCAACCTAAAAAAAATGGAAAATTAATCTGTGAACTGTGCAGAGGTTTTACTTCTGAGGCCAGATTTGATATGCAATTAATTCACTTAAAGAAACATTGTCCATTTGGAATTGACCTGCCCCATTTGGTTTACAATAAGATCTAGCTTAAACTGAATATTTTTTGCCAAATAGTGCATTTCATAACCTTTCCATTGATATATAGTTTGTGGTGGTTAAGTTTCAAATACTTACTTTGCTGTTGTTCAAAATGAACACTGAAATGTCATCAAAATAAGCTTTGAATTTTTACGTTATAGAATAAAGTTGCAAATCAGGGTTTGAAATACCAATTTGTCTAAGATGGACTGAACATGATTGTGCTTCTATCAGCTCTTTAAAATCATTTATAATCAGGGCAAAGCCAATGTGTACTTTATTTTTTAAAAGCTGACTACCACAAAACTCAACAATCTAAAAATGAATTGCTTTTTTCTGGACAGATTTAAAGCATTTAAAGCATGCTGACAAAGATCATTACTCAGATCAATCTCAATGTACTGAACTAAAAGCAAAACTTAAGTCTAACTGAGGTCAGTCCAGTTTCCTGTCAGTAATTTTAACATAAAATTGTTGACTAATGCAGATTAATAGAAACACAAAGCATGTACATTTGCTTTTTATGTTTGATTTAGTTTTTTTTAACTACTAAGACTTGCTTTGTATCAAATGTCATGATCATGTGAATTTGTGAATACCACTCGGAGGTATACAACTTGTACCAATTACCTGGAAATGACGATTGATGTTAAAGATACTATACATGCAAGCACAGATTTCATGTAATTATATAATGACCTTAGATATTTGAGTGAAAATTTAAGAAAATACAAAAATTTTGGCAAGCTGGTTTATAATGTAAAATCTTAAGGACTATTAGGCATGTTTTCTTTGCTAAATGATAAGTCAATAAAATTTTTATTTCCAGTAGATACCTGTCCAAAAAGGCAACAACTCAGATCCTGGATCTGAGTTTCTAAATACAGGAATTAACTTGTGGCAGCATGGGTGAGTTTTATAATGTCTTCAGATGTGAACTGAGGTGAATAACATTGTAAGTTCCCAATCTTGGTTATTTTGTAATTGTGGGTCTGTTTTGTTTTGAGTGGGTTAATTGCTCCAACATGAATCCTTTACACCCTAACATTAGTCTCTGTATTCTCCATACTGTTCTCAGTACATTTCCTAAGGTGCAGATAAAGAGAATTTGTTTAATAATCAAGAGCCTCTTTAGCTGGTCATCATTTCCTTTATTCTGGTGACCTTAATGTGTGATTTAGGAGTGATATTATGAGGAGAAATTAGATGCTAGTCACTCTTAGGGGTCATAGGGTTAAGTTTTATCAAAAAGAGTAACAGCTGTTTACAGTCTACTCAATCATAATTAATTTTCAGTAATGTACCAATCATAATATCATTGGCACTGTGTTGTTTTCTCACACATGATAAAAATAATTATGGGAAGAAAAAAGCATAGTATAGTATAGTCACTCTTAGGGGCCAAAGGGTGAAATGTTATGAAAAAGAGTAACAGCTGTTTACAGTCTACTTAATCATAATTAACTTTCAGTAATGTACCAATCATAATATCATTGGCACTATGTTGTTTTCTCACACATGATAAAAAATAATTGCAATTCTTTATTAATACCTTTAAATGCTATTGATGATTTTATTGTTTTATCAAATGAAATAAACGTTTATATCTTGCTGCGATGATTTATGTATAAATATTCTGCAAGGAACAACTTAGGTAATTTAATTGGCTGATCAAATAAACCTGACCAGCATGGTCTGACTAAATTTGTAGCTGTACCCAAGACAGCCTAAGGTCACCAAAAGCTACTTGTAAGACCTGACATGTAGGATCTAAGAGCACATCTTTGAGCATCTTTTGCATTTATCTGTCAGTTTGCAAATTTCAGTCTCAAATTTTATTATTAACAAGTACATTAATTGACTTGCAGTCAGGTCATTAAAATCTTTTAGTTCATAAACCTACGTTTTAACTGGGATTGGAGTTAATATTCTGCAAACTGTAACTTTGCTAATTCATAGACCATTACAGGAAATAGAATGAAGTGTTTCTGTTGAGGTCCATACCTGCATACACAATTATTTGGCGAAGGTAAAAGACAAGAAAAATTTAGGGGTCTTATTGGACTTCATAGAAGCAAACAGATGACAATTGCAAAGTCTAAGTCAGGTAGCAGAGTGAAACATATGTCTTGAATAAGGGGCAATTTGGAAAAAAAAAAGAATACAAGTGGCCTATTTTGGTCTTATGCATATTTGGGTGTTAGCTTTTGGTAAAAAATATAATTTTAGGGTTTGTTACAACCCTTAATTCATTGTTACAGGAAGACTAAGGAACTTGAGGTTATTTTTTTAACTTAAGTGGTGTAGCGGCCGACACAAGCGAAGCAAATTTTCGACGACAACTATGAGTTTCGCAAATGAAGACACACTATGAAGCGAGGATATATTTTACGGACAAGCCTTGAATCGTTTTATTTAACGTAGTCGAGGTATCCAAGTACTTATCGTAAACTGAAATATGAAAATTATAAGGAAGAAGCTAACCTAAATTCAAATATACGAATCAAAATTCCAATCATTCCGATATAAAGACAAGATCTTATAACCAGCTCAAACTTAAAACAAACTCGCAAAAGGACTATATCTTCAAAAGGATAAAAGGGTACTGCTTGAAAACGAACTCTAACAAAAACTAATAGCCAAGTGGGGAAAACGTGTAGGGTTCTAACGAAGCGTAAACAACGTAAGCCACGTGTTACAAGTTTGCGAAAACGAGCGATAAAGAAACTAGTGTAAAAACTAGGCGAAACTACCAAAAGACTAGATGTTTAGACAATTAAGCACAAAGAAAAGGAACATAGGCACTTACATAACAGTCCCGCTTGTAAGGGTTTAACCAAAATGATCCTCAAGATAAGGTGGGTAAAAAGGCACTCTTCCGATAAACACGTCTTATCAATAAGCAGATTTAAGCCATAAAGAAAGAATTTTTTCCCCTCTCGAGCTAACTTACAGGAATCTTGATCATATGAATCTTAAAGGAGTTGCAAAACAATATACCTCTAACACTATTATTAAAAGTGTTATATGAAATTATAACAATAATTGTAATAATTATAAAAATAATAATGATAATAACTCTTGATTCAAACACAAATATACAGCAGTATTTGAAGGGGAGACCCCTGAGGTTATCTCTATAAGAAGGGCTTCCTAACCAACTAAGTTAACTAATCAAAATCTATGTACATTTTGACAGTTCAAAATCTATTTAAAAAACAGCTTTGGATTAGAAACAAAACTCAAACAAAACAAAGTAGGACCTAATGGGCAGTAAATTTAGTAATCAACTTATATTCCTTCAAATGAATCATTGTTCATTGGCTGGCATTTTTTACTGGTTACACATTTCTGAAGCAGCCACTACACACTGTGCTTTGATTAGATAAAGCAGTAATCACTTGTTTAAATCCAAATGAAATTTCAGACTTTAAAGCCTTTACATGTAGTGTTTTTTTGTGGCTGTTGACTAAAATGTCTTTGGAGACCAATGACCTTATCTGTTTTGAGAATACGAAGAGTATAACTAAACAGTTGGAAATTATCTTCAAACGTTCTCTTCTGGTGAGTTAATTAAAAAATTATGAGTTACTCCAAAAGGCATTCTTGATTGAAGAACTGATTTTCTTTTATTTCATCAACAATAGACCGATAGCTGTTTATAAACCACACATTGTGGTTTTACATGTGCTAGCTGCTACCAGGACACCACTGTTAAAATTGCTGGTGATATCCGCATTCAAAATTTTTACACATCTGAGGAGAAAATAATGTTTTAATGGTTAGAATACTTGCTCTTTTAAACCTCAAACTGTGGTTTAAAGATAAATATTGATGAACACTTTGTATCGGTAGAGAAAGATATATGGAACATACTTGATGATGATGATGATGATGATGAAGTCTTTATTGAAAAAAATCAGACTCAACAGCAGTGAGTCTTTACAGTCCAAATCATGGATAAAAGGGACAATTTAATATCTAAAACAAGATATAAAAAGAAATAAAAAGGAATAATCAAACATAACAAAATATGATCATCCAAGTTTAAAAAGACAACTGTTAATAAACAAGTTTTTGTATATTTCAGTCTATTTATCTGGGGGAGCTGAAATTCATGCCCCCTTTTCCTCAGTATTTTTGTTTAAGGGGCAACAGATCTCGAGGAGGATGGTTTTTCGTGGTGGTGATGTTGTTAATTCCCAGACTTCCAGGCTATACGCAAATTAGGATAAGATGAGTGGGTCAAACAACTTGTTGAGTTGATCTTAAGAATAGCTGTAAACCTTACAAACCCTCAATATAAACAGCCAAGTGTTTGCTTTGGTTATTAGGTTGTCAACGTGGAGGTCCCAGCAGCCAGGGTCTTCTTGAAATATAACACCATTCGTCAGAGCGACTGACGAAGGGCCAACGCTCGAAACGTCAGCTTTGAAACTTTCTACGGTGGCCAATTTACACGGTCATACTTTGATCACCTTTCAGATATGAGACATGCTTATGAGCAAACATGTGTTTACAAAGAATTTGTGTTGATCTCTGATGTTTATCTTTGAATTATTTTCTGATTTCATTTGTTCACTTCTAGGAAAACTTTGAACATAGATCCAGTTTGTTATGATGGCAGGACCTAGTGGTGATAAGTGCAGCTGCTCAGATAATCGCAGTGATGACCCTCCACCTCTGAGTATTACACTGAAGAAGACAAGAGATCTGCCGAAGAAGGTGAAACATTGGAACATAGACCATCGTCCAGTTGACATTCTGCTTTTGACTGTGGAGTATTGCGAGTTCTTAGCTTGTTATCATTACCTGAGAGATTCCTCTAAAAGCTATGAGAAATCCATTGGGTATGTGTACTTTGGAAAGATGGGTGACGGTGAAGATGAGGCACTGAAAGTTGCTTTAGTGAAGTGTTCTAAAGAATTCTTGGATCCTGGAGGTTCTCAAACTGCTGCTAAGAATGCCGTCACACTCCTGAGACCCAAGGCTACCTTTTTGGTTGGTTTCTGCTACAGTTTGAATCCTGACAAAGCCCAGCTAGGAGATGTGGTGATATCCTCAAAGCTTACAACAGATTTTCACAAAACCCCAGTGAGTAGGGATGTTGGTAACCTTGTCAGAAGTGCAGCTTATGGATGGAAGGCACCATTAGAATACCCAGAAACACGAGAAGTCAATGTATGTGATGGAGAGATTTTGAGTTGCTCTGATCTGATTGATGCTAAAAAGCAGTGTCAGTCACACCCTGGGGCAATTGCAGTTGAAATGGAAGGAAAAGGTGAGAATTACTCTCATGGTTACTCTTGCTTGGCTTCTGGTTGCTAGGTTCTTAAGCCAGGTTCTTGTTGGGGGCGAGGTACTCGATACTTTTTGTTTGAGGAACTCTTTCCTGAATTCTAAATTCTTACTCTCTGATATACTGCTTCTGACAAAAAGGTACCTGCCCTACTCATTATACTCTCTAGGAAGAGTAGTGCTAATTTACATGCCTGCAGAAAAACACAACATCTCTTAAAGACTTCCAGTAGCAGAGGAAAAACAAACAAAAAAATGATCTGCAGAAAAACAAAGCCTCTTTTGCTCAAATTAATCATAACAATCTCCCCATAATATCACTGTTTAAATCCATTCCAATTGTTATTGTGTATTTTTTTTTTAATTTTCTACCTCAGGCCTGTTTGCAGCAGCTCATGACATGAAGATGGAGTGGCTTGTCATTAAAGGTGTTTGTGGTTTTGTACATGGTGTTGCTTCTACAAAGGATCCATGGAAGACTTTTGCTTGTGTCATGGCAGCTTCTGTTGTATCCAACATGTTGAATAACTCTTTTGTGTTTGGAGACTGGCCTCATTACGGAGGTACGTGTACATTTTTGTAACAGGTTTGGTTGTGTCTTCCAAGAGATCTTGTAACTTACTTGTTTTCCTCAGTATAGACTATCGTTATCTGCTGATGAAAGCATGGAGACCAATAGTGGAATTAAATATATATCAGAAAACTGATAAACATACGCATTCTTTGTTTTTCACTCGCATTGTTGTGAAAAAAAACTGAGATATGTACAGATTCACTTTAATAGTTCTAATACCAATTTTGAAGTCATGGATAACGTTCTAAAATTCCAGATTAGAGGGGTTAATAAGAAAATACTCACTTTCTGCGTCTTCATTGTATTTCATTAGTCTTAAATGAAATCTTTTATCTTTCGTCTTAGATTGTAGGTATTACAAATCGTTGATTAAAGACGCTTATCAAATACCCTCTCCCCCTGCCCTCCTAATTATTGTTTTCGTGTCCAGACTATTGTGCAAAGTAAAATGAACCCAAATTTTCTTTGTTTACCTTTCTACGAAATATCTTACTGTTTGTGATTGGTTTAAAAAAATGTTGAGATCTAAATCTTAGCTTTTATTCCGTTTCGATGAATTTCAATTCTCCAAGTCCATCAGTTTCTCTTCTCTCTTTTATTCCGTGATCGGGCTCACACGAGATTTTCATCTTCAATCAGCACTCATTTCGACTCCTGCTTGTTACCCATTTCACAAATTAAGTAAAGTGTGTTTTAATTATCATTATAGTCTGACTTTCCTTTCCCTTTTGCAGACATTTCAACAGGAGAGGAGAGTTGTAAACGTGATGACCCTTCAGAAAATAAACGTAGAAGGCTAGCAGGTATTTTAATTATCAAGTTAAGAAATTTCACATTAAGCTTTCGTTCTAATAACTTATATTGTACTTATAGTAGTAGAGTGTCCGTGCGCAGAATCCGAAGGTGTTATGTTCCATTCCTGGTGAAGACTCAAAGTTTTTCCTTTGTCCCACGCTCCTGACAAGACAGCAAAACTTCTTTCTTTTTTCTTAAATAAATAAATGCTGGAAATTTAATCTTCCCTGCGATTTAAGAAGAGTTACCGACGAAGGGAAAATTACAGAACAGAGTGTGGGTTTTTGCAGGGGGGGGGGGGGGAGGGCGCGGTGGCAGGGGTAAATTATCTTCTTCCCTTCAATAAAAAGCAATTTCTGTTTTTCTTTTAATATTTCTTAGAACCGTTTAATGTTGAAAAGTGTCAAGAGCAGCTTAAGTCTCATTATGAAACCTTCAGGAAGGTGAAAATCGTTCCATGGGACGAGAGCTCTTCTATTCAGATTGAGAAGATCTTCACACCTTTGTCTTGGGTCAAAGATGACAGGAAACCCAGCGGAATGACTCAAGATAAACTTGAAGACTACACCGACATGTTCAAGGAAGATGAATATGATCGCAAACCAACACGAATGCTTGTTTATGGTCGGCCAGGAATTGGCAAGAGTACGTTTTGTAAGAAGGCTGCATATGACTGGTCGAAAGCATTAAAAGAAGTTCTTATGAACTTTTACATTTTCCTTCTGATCAAGTTGCGAGATGTGTGTGATTCGGAAGACATCCGTGATGTTTTACGTGCGTCTAAATTGCTGGCTAGTGATGGTCCGATCTCAGTCGATAGTCTCAATGATTACATAATCAACAATCAAGATAAAGTGCTTCTTATTTTGGATGGCTACGATGAGTACAGCTGTGCAAAAGCACACTCACCTATTCTAGAAATTTGGAGGGGCGAGCAACTAAGAGATTGTCACGTTATTGTCACCACGCGACAACTTAAATGTGACGAGTTAATAGGCCCCAGCCACGTTCAGTTGGAAATTCAGGGTTTCAAGAGCTGGAGTCAAATCGTAACCTTTGCGAGAAAGTTTTTGGCTGGTGAACAAGATCTTGACGAGTTTATGTGCTACCTGAAAGAAAAAGATCTCCTTGGCATGGCAGAAATACCTCTCCTCCTACTGATGCTGTGTATTTTGTGGAAAGCGAAACATCACGAAGGACTGCCAAAATCACGAGCCGACATATTCACACAATTCATTCAAACCATGTTAGATCACAAAGGTGAAGGTCAACAGCCTATACCGTTTGTGGAAGTGACCTTTAATGAAGCCAGAGAAGACCTGAGCAATCTTGGAAAGGCTGCCTACGAAGCGCTGCTACAAGACCGTCTTTACGTACGCTGTAGTAAACTCCTCGGCAATATTTCAAGAAGTTTTCAAAAATTAAGTAAAGTTGGGCTTTTCCAGATTGTGAACGTTACGAGTCTCAATCCTGAGAAAGGGGCCTATTTCATTCATAAATCCGTGCAAGAGTTCCTTGCAGCCTGGCACATTAAGGAGGAAGTGTTGTCAGTTAAAGGAGATAGTACGCCTAGCCTTTCCAAAGTTGAATCATTTGAACAGATCGTGAAGATGAATGAAGTTCTCAAATTTGCCTGTGAGTTGTCAACAGAAGCCGCGTGCGCAGTTTTCTGTCATGTAGGGTCTGTTGGAAGAAAGGAATCTTTGTCGGAATGTGATTTTATTGAGCTGATTCAGCAGCTTGAAAAACCGTTGTCTCAAAACCAAAAACTATATCTAGAGCTTATATCGCATAGCTACATTTGTTGTTCAGCCGAGAAGAGACAAGATCTCTGCTCAGTGTTTCCCTCTTACACTGGAGGTGTTTTGTTTCTTGATTCTAACCAGCTGAACATTACTGCAAATGGACATTTGCTGAAATCTGCCGTGATACCCGACTTTATCTTTTTTCCTCGCTACGTAGTGGATTCAGAGAAAAGCTATCGAAACTTGATCACTGTAGCGGAGGACACAAATGCTGTTATTTTGAGCTGTTCGGGAGAAAAGAAAGCCGCAGATTTTCTACAGAAGTTCCCGCGTCGTCCTTTGAAAGAGTTCTTCTTGAAGAGAGAAAGAAAAATTATCCTTTACATTCTTCAGTTACGGAAAGAAGGAATTGATGACACTTCTTTAACTGAAATGCTGCGAGAGCCCATTTCATCAAGAGGAGAGTCTACTCAGGTGAAGCGTGTCGGTGATTCGTTGAATGAACACGACAACGAAACAGCTTCGTGTTTCAATAAGAACACTGATAGCATCACTGGTCCCACTCCAAACAGCCTTTCCTGTGTGAGGAACATTTTTATTTACGACATAGAAAGGCAAGAGATGAAGATGTTGGCTGACTGTTTATCACTTTACACTTCTCTGCGATGGATATATATCGTTGGTAAACCCTTTGAAAGCATTGATGCTCGGTTGACAGAGACCCTGGTGTCCCATATCATCTTTACTGACAGACTTGTGAGATTATTACTAGAGGATATCAATTTAACAGCCAAACCTGCCGCAGCCATCGCCAGATCTCTGCACGAGGCTCCTAGCCTGCGCTGGCTCAACTTGGCACGTAATCCTCTTGGTGAAGGAGTAAGTGTTCTCACTCGACATCTCAACTGTGTTCCTTACCTGGAGGAGCTGTGGCTTTTTGATGTTAAAATGACAAAGCAACAAGTGAATGATTTGAGTGCAGCTGTACGTCAGAGTAATATCTCCTCGTTGGGGACACTCTACCACGTAAGTTTTGTGATCTTAGTTTGCATAAATGTAGTCATAATTCTTATAGATCCTGTTCGATTTCCTGTGGTGTTGTTTTAAGAATTTTTACGCCCTTGGTTCGCGGAGCAAGTGCGATGTAGCTATCGCTAAGCCACGAGAAACACTTGCACATTTCCAAAAAACACGTGTGCGGGCAACAGTCAAAGTTAAAATAAAATGGAGCATCTTCTTTAGATTCCTTATGATTAGCCCAGTCCATTACCCGCATTGCTGGACAAAGGGTAATTCGCAGCTCAATTTCGTTCCGTTTTAATTATGCTTTCATAACATTCTTTTGTATTTTGTCACAACAAGCCGACTCGCAAACAGTTCGTTTTCTTGTCGAATTTTGTCATGTATTGCTTTGTAGTTTTACGGTTCTTGTTTAAATCCTGCTGAGGAAATTGAAGAAGTTGTAATTCTGCTAGCTGTGTATTCGTGAATTGATTGGATTGAATTTGGAACTATTCATCGTCGAAGGGTCACCGGTAACATGCGATATCTCGATTGCTTTTATAGAACAAGAATAAAGTTTGTTTCATGAAGAGTTACGACCAGTCAGTGCAAATCAGTTTTATAAACGAATTTGAACTGCTTTGAATTTTTTTATGCGACTTTTGTAAATACCGCGGAGTGCACTGTTACACTTTCATTTCGCTGTTTACATCGCTGTCGCTTTGTTGTTTGCATTTATTTCGTACTGTGTTTATGGAAGAACCCGCGACTCTAGTGCACCTTGCATTAGTTTCTCGGTGTTTTAAAATCACTTTGTCAATTAGCCCGCTAAGTAATAATAATGCAGAACTGATAAGACCGTTTACGATGAAAAATAAGACATTTTTTCAGTTTGCTTCTTTTGCGATATGCACCCTACTGTTTCCATCTTGTTACACTTATGTATACCTTGTATTCTCTGCATGGGCTTGTCAGGTACATGTACCTGTAGGACTGTATGAAAGGTAGTCCCTGAATGAATGAGTTTTTATTCATCATATGATGTAATGTATATTTCTTGAACACTTCAGTTTACTAGTCTCTAACAAAGTAATCGGTATGGGCCCCACCATGGATATAATTGAATGATAACTAAATTTTGGTGAGCCTTGTGATGTAAGGCTACAAGGAACGTTCCTCAATATAAAAGTTTTTTTTAAATGACTCAGTCAAAAATACTCTTGGCCTAATTTCTCTTCGTATAAAAAGTAACCAGGGTAAATAAGTGTGAGTTCAGGTTTATGTTGTTTAACAAGATGATGTTGAGTGTTGGTTTGTGATTTATTACAGGATCGCAAAGGGAATGTCAAGCCTGAAGAAGAATGGCCAACAGATGAATACTGGAGAAAACGTTGGAGCTTCTTCCATGGATCAGAGCAAGAACCAGATCCTGGATCAGTTACCCACTCAGATGACGAGGAGGAACCTCAGTCCTGCCTGGAAACGTAGCTGACCAGGACTGGCTTAGTAGACTGCCTGTAACTAGGGAAACTTACCATTGGTCAGAACTGGCTGGTCAGACCAGTCCATCCATTGAGAGAATTCTTTCAGATCTGTTCAGTTAGAGAAGTCAATACCTAAATTGTATGGACTGTTCTGATTGAAATTTGAAAACAGGTTTGGGAAGTTTGACTAGACAAGGCACATTTCAAGGTGATTGGTCTGGTAGGTTTCTGACCAATGGTAATAGACTTCAGTGTTGGGATCAAATAAACAAACAATCAACAGTTGGATGAAAAATAAGGAAATAAATATTTTAGAATCACTTAGCTTAGGTAAATTGGTACCCTCACCAAAATGGGGACTCCCTTCCACAACATCGGTGAGAACATATAGGATGTTTCTCTGGAGTCAGAGTGTCTTGTCCTTGAAATTGATCGTTGATTTGGATATATTTTGATTTTAGGCTATTTTACGATGTTTCCTTATGTTGGTTGTAGTTTTGATTTACAGCTTTGAGTTTCAAAATTTGGTTTTCATGTTACTGAGTTAGAGACTTAGATATTTTGTCATTTTTCTTTTTTAATTTACCTTGGTTGGTTTTTTCCTGCTCAGATAATTGATTACTTCATCAGGCTGACTGTGCAGATAATTCTCTCATTTCTATTGATTAAAAAAGAGAACTCATTAAAGCAGCCATTCTCCGTAAAATATTAAATATTTTAATGTGGCGAAGAACAAAACCTTAACGTTTGATAGAAGTCTTCACTAAAAGCCAAAAAGACAATGTGAAGATAAATTTCGTGATTTAGGATCGGTATTTTTATTTTCATGGTATTCGGCATGCTGTGAACAAATTTAGCTGTTTTGTTAATACAGGACAGGCTTCTGATTGCCTTAATTTTCAAACATTCCATTTGAGATTAATGTAAATAGTGTAATGTGGTTGACATTTCGTCGTCAAAGCTTTTAAAACTCTGTTGAGTGTGGCAAAAGAAGGGAGAAGAACGCCCTCCCCCAATTAGTGCCCACCCCTCAGGTCGTTGTGTCAAACAAGCGCTCTTCTCGAATAAGCGCCGACCCCGTCCTTCCTCGCTTTCTTTAATAGTAGTGATACAAAGAAAACATTTTTCTATTTTCACTTTATTTATGACTTTTTAGACTTCAACTACAGCGGAATCAGTACAAGGAAATAGAAAAAAAAAATATGCGCGGAAATAAGGTATTTAATCTTCGGGCAGGAGAGGACGATCTTTCGCCAGATGCTCTTTTTGCCACATGAAACAATAAAAGCTTGTATACTGAGGTAACATTGTTTATTATTTCCTTACGGAGGTAGACAACCCTTACATTTTAACTGCACGCTATCGATGGACTGAGATATTAACAGAATAACAGACCCAGTGTAAAGAGGTTCTTTCCTACCACAAAGCGGAAGATCAAATTTGAAAATGATAGAGCTGTAGTTTAATTGAAAAATAAAACTTGACAATCGACCAAACAATTTATCAACCAAAACTATGCATGAAAAGGGATGGAAATGCGTAAAGCTCCATCGAAATAAGTGAAAAAATACGGAGTCCATTAAGTGCCATTAAATCACACTTTCAATTTTGAATATCCCCTTAAGTTTTGCACGCGTTCCGTCTTTTTTCCCGACTTTTTTCTCGACTTTTTTCCTGACTTTTTTCTCGATTTTTTTTCTCGACAATTTTTCAATTTTTTCCGACTTTTTCCTCTACTTTCTTCTCGACTTTTTCCCGGACTTTCTTTCCGAATTTTTTCCCGACTTTTTTCCCAAACTTTTCCCGACTTTTTCCCCAACTTTTTTCCTGATTTTTCTCCCGGCTTTTTCCCGAATTTTTTCCTGATTTTTCTCCCGGCTTTTTACCGAATTTTTTCCCGATTTTTCTCCCGGCTTTTTCCCGAATTTCTGTGGAAGGTGGCTCACCCCAATCTAGTTACTGCTGTGGACTTGGCGAACACTGCGGATTGATATCGTTGGTAAAACGAGAAATTTTTTCTCTTTAGTGGGACACCAAAATGACCAGCGCTTTCGCCGTGCTTTTAATTCTGACATTTGCTTTGAAAACGTCCTCATGCGATGGTGTCCGACCTGCAAACTACATTCCTACATTGCAAGAATACCCGCTTAACGTCATGACTTAATTCAAATCTATTATCATCTTGGGCTGGAGTGTACGGAGATCTTCTTGTTTCTTGTATTCAGTCATGGCATCAGCTTAAGCCTTAGACAGTTAAAAAGGATTTTAAAAGCCGAAGGACTCGGACAAATAAGAAACGCCAGGTTTTTTAAGCTGTGGAAGAACACCTCAGAGGAAGCGGTTGTAACATCGAATACAGGCAAATGACTCAACGACTACCGGCTTGTTGTTGGCAAAGAAAACGTTCAGGAGTTATTGAATATCCTTGATCCTGAGGAGGTTGAGTTAAGAGCAAGGCGTAGACTAAAATGGAGGCAATACATAACCAAGGGGCCCAATCATTTGTGGCACATAGATGGCTATGATTAATTGAAGCCGTTTGGTTTTTGTTTCCACGGAACCATCAATGGATTTAGTTGGTGAATTTTATGGCTTGACGTTGGATGCACCAACAATGATCCTACCGTTACTTCTAAGTACTTTGTTGACTGTGTCCAGTAACTTGGAGGAACTGCGAGGGTTAGAAGAGCTGATTGCCGAACTGAGAATGGATATGTTGCAGCGGTGCAAAGGCGAGATGGTGAAGATGATTGAGCGGGGGATGACAGTTCATCAACTATGGGAAATCAGTTTTTAACCATCGAATTGAAGCCTGGTGAAGTATACTGGGAAAAGACTATCTTAGATGGTGGAAGACAACAGGAGCTGTGGCCTTTATCACGACAATGACTGTATTGAAGAGTTTCTCAAGTTTTCTTTCATGCCTATATTGCGAGATCACTTCATCGGGAAGTAGGACTGTGGAATCTCCATCGAATTCGATCTTCAACTAACTTGAAATTCCCATCTGGGAGGCCTGATGTACTATTCTTTTTCCCGGAAGTGTCTGGTACAAGGAACTATACAGTGGACGTCGACTTGGACGAATTGGATCTTGCAGAGGAGAGATGCTGCTATCAACCTCCGCAAAGAGGTTGCTCAGATGAACTTACCCAGTTATCAGAAATCATGAGGGGAAAAAAGTTTATAATTTCCTCGCACACCTGAAGAGGCAACAACTTTGTATGTCACCTTACTCGAAGAAATAATTAGGCAAAATGTAAGAGACCTGGGACATGCGTAACCCTTCTGGGGTGTTAACCCCCCCCCCCACCCTTTTTCCCGCCCTCTTTTCACTTACGTCTAGAATTGAACCCACTTGTTTCAGAGTACTTCTTGTTGACTGAATATTTTAGACACTTTCACACACTTCATATTTGGTGTAATATGTGTTTGGTGGAATTCCATCAATTGGG